CTAATTTTTCTCCAGTTATCATTTTTTTCTGATCTATAGCTCTTCATAATATTGCATCGTAACCTTCTGTAAATTTTATTCCTCACAAATACCCTTTTCCAGTATACTATATGGCTTGTCTCTCAACTTTTTAGTGTCACTTGTTCTATGTAAGTTAAAATGTTTTAATGGAGTGAAATTTATATTTTTATAAATTTGTTTTATCCTATCACAGAGTCATAAACTATTCTCTTACATTTTCTTCTAAGTTTAAAATTTTTTATTTCTATATTTAGATATTTAATCTATTTGCTATTTTGTGGTATATTATAGGATTTTTCTTTAATTTTTGTTGTTTAGCTTTACTAGTTTACTATTGCTGTGTATCAAGGTACTATAAACTTAAGGTAAGATGTAGGATTCGCTATTATTTTTGTTATTTAGGAATCTTAGTTTCCTATTGTTATGTATCAAATAATCACAAACTTAATAGCTTAAAACAATACAAATTATCTTATAGTTGTTATACCTTACAACTCTAAACAGACTAGCTAGGTCCGCTATTAAGGGTCTTATCAAACTGAAGTCAAGGTATTTCAGGCCCATGGTCTTTCCAAGCTCACTAGTTGGAAGAATTCAAATTTTTTGTGATAGTAGAATGTTTTTCTTTTTTTTTTTGGTACTGGGGATCGAACTCTGGTCCTTGTGCTTGCACAGCAGGCGGTGAAACCACTGAGCTAAATCCCCAGCCCCTTAGAACGTTTTTCTTGCTGGCTGCTGGCTAGGGACCATTCTCAGTCCTAGAGTTCCTTTCTGTGTACCATTTGCTACTTTACAACCAACGAGTAAGAGAATTTTTTCTTTTTTTTTTAACTTCTTTTAAGGACTCAATGAGTTCAGGTATACTAAGGATAATCTTTTGATTAATCTTGATTAACAAATCCTGAACTCTGTACAAATCCATTCACAACCTGAATACTACTGAGTAATCTCTGTTGATACCAGTAGAGAAGAACCTATCAACCCCTGCCAAACAACAGCAGCTACAAAACCCTTTTTGTCAACAAAATATCATAAATATTGATATAGATCTGTCATCTATATCTATCATATATATGTGACATATATACAATATGTGTGTGTGTGTGTATAATTGTTTTAAGCTACCAAATTTGGGGGTGGTTTGTGAAGGAGAAAAACACAACCAGAACATAGGGTCAGAAACTACTTTTTACAGCTTTAAGTTTTTTTCATAATTTAACAAAATTGGGTCTCCATCTCTTTGTTGAAGTTAAAGCTATTTTCAACTTGTTAGAAAAAAAAAAAACAGTAAAAGGCAAAGACAGGAAAGCAAATCCTAGAAGTTCTCACATTCAAATCTAGACTAATGCCAAGATCAGGACTACATAAGCAGGATGACCAGTCTATTATGAGATAGACAATGGTGTCCTTTTGGGACAGATGCTCTACTCTAAGGCCCATCACTTACTGATGGAATACTATCTTTATAGAAAAAGAAAAAGGAGAACGTTTTTTCCAGGCAAACCTAATTAGACTGTAGTGAGCAAAGTGCAGGTTGGATCTTAATCCCCACTTGTCCCAGCATTCTTGTGCAAAGCACAATGAGCATATCTTTATGTAATTAAAATGCAAGGTGACATTTCTACATTTGAAAATGACACAAATCTTGTGGGTACCAAGTTGATAAGAATGGAAAGAGCTTATAAATCTATGTGAGTGGACAGAAAGGTAGCAAATGGGTGCACAATATATATATATATATGAGTTATCAATCACCGTGAAAGAAAAGGAACTAGAGCTACAATAGATTGTTCCCTGAATATAAAGGCAGAGGCTTCTTCTGACAGCAAAAAGAACAATCATTTGATTTAATCATGACATGACATTCCCCCTGAGGAGCAAAGCAGTACCACCCACTCAACTGATGCTTTGAGGAAAATTGAATAAGAAAGAAACCATCAGGACTGGGAGAAAATTAACAGCATGAAGGCTCAGAGAAAAACAGAGCTTCAATATAAAATAAGCGAGATACAAAGCAAAACCAAGTAGATCTCATTAGAAGCAAATGCAGTTGTAGAGGTGGGAATAGTGACTACAGCATGCTATGGACTAGACACTGTAGATACAGAATACTTCCAACATCACAAGACGTCCTATTGGAAAGCATCCATCTAGAGACTTGTTAGTAGATGAATCAAAAGAATCAAATCTCCTGAAAGCCAGGAAAACAACATTTTTAGGACAATTGTATCACATAAAAGTGTATGGAAGACCAAAAACAACAATGAATTCAGTACCTTCTAAGACAATGTCAGTCTGTAATAGGTTACAATAGATTATGGATGTAAATGGGTGATAAATAAGTAGAGGTAACAGGAATAGATAACTCTTTCCAGTAATTTTTCAGTTAAGAGAAACAGAGTGAAAACCTAAAACAGAATTGAAATAGACCTGGGTAAGTATGTACTTAATATAAGCATGTTTGTGGACTCACTGGAAGGTCTAGACCATGTCAATGAAATATCTACCAACTCTACCAACCTGAAAGCCTTCATGTAGCACTGAGGATTAAGGAGGTAGAATCATACAATTTTAAAGTAATAAGAAGGCTTAGAAATCATCTACTCTACTTCTCACATTATATACATAGAAAACAGAGTTGCCCACAGTGACATACACACCTCAGTGGTTTAAAACTAGAATAAGAACTCAAGTCTTCCTAATGTTAGCCTAAAGACTTTTTAGCTTATTGAATTGCCACCTAAAATACACATCAAACAAGAGTGGGCAAAGCTGCTTTATTTTGATTTCCATTAATCTACAAAGAAAATATTCATATTAGCTCAGTGGTTCCGCTGCCTGCGAGGCAGGCACAAGGACCTGAGTTCGATCCCCGGTACCAAAAAAAAAAAGAAAACATTCATATATACCAAACTCTCATTTTTTAGAAACATATTTTTATACCTTCCTCCTTTATTTAGAAAAATAGACAACTAAGCATTGACTGCCTATTATCTTGTAACAAACAAAACTTTGATGAGTATCACCTCATTAAATCTTTACTGTAACATGAGAGGTGTGTTTTCACCATTTCACAACTTAGAAAAGTATGCCTCAGGTCAGTAACATGATAAAACCTGTAAGCGACTTTAATTTCCACTCTATAATGCAATAAATTGGAAAACTGAGAATATGGGAGAAAAGAAATGAACAAGTTAGGGAATGAAATTGAGATTTCTTTTTAAATATAAAAGCAACAAAAATAAATTTATAAATGCCAATCCTAAAAACAAAACAAATTAATCCTTTAGATAAATATTAGTTAATGTAACAAATGTTTCAAGAAACTTAACATTTATTGCCATTGGAGAGGGGAACTATGCAACCAGAGACAGGTATTGGAAGGAAACATTTCACAGCAAACCTCTGTAACTTTGGATTTTAACTATAACAATCTAATGCCTATTTCAATAAATAAGCAAAACAATTTTTTAAATTTTCAAATGTTCTAGATTCTACCAATAGTTTAGAATTACTAGCATCATATATTCCTCCAAAATGCCACAGATAAAATGAAATTTCAGGAAAGAAGAATCCTAATTTTCTATTCTGAAAAGGAAAGGCCAAGCTTATAAGGAGCAGGAGATAACCTTTTAGGGTTTAGGGCACAGAGGAAAGTGATTCACTGCAACAATCACTATTTCATCAATTCAGTTCCACTGCTACTGTCCATATTTTTTAGTTTGTTGCTAAGAAACCCTATTGCCTGAAAGCAATTTATGAGTAGGAGCCTATATGAAACAAGAGAAAAGCAATCATCCTGAAACTTGTTCAAATGAGGTCATTCTATCTATTCAGCACATTTTGGTGCCACTTAATAAATTATCTCCTTTCCATACTCATGCAGTTACTATGATTTGGAAAACCCCATTGAATTTTAAAGCAAAACAATTCTTTATAAATGTTTAATATGAGTCTGCAAACTAATATATGTGAAATGAGGAGCCATAGTTGTTTGGTTTCTCATTCTCTATCCATATTTGTCCTTTCTTGAACATACTGTGAATTCCAAACACTTTGCAAGGGTAATTTTCATATTTTAAGAGACCTGGTACAGAGCATGGGAAAAAGACTTGATTGACATGCTGATAGAAATATAAAACCTATAAACTGACAATGATATTTTGAGATTAGAGCGAAGTCAGCTGAAGGCAGATTCTGCAAAACAAGCATGGTGGTAGGCGGACCAAAACGCTGGGACAACAGTTCTGCCAGGGTGGGGTAGGCTGGAGTGCCAGGCGGAATCCAGCTCCGCATACAAATACGCAAAGGAAAGTTAGAAGCAGGCAGAAACGCTGAAGCTTCACATTTCTAACCACTAAACTCCTAACAACACAGACACTTTGAAAATTAGTGCAGACGGAGAGCCATAGGGATCCAGGTTCAGGTCTTTCCACTGAAATCAATCCAGTTTGGCCCATTTCCATTCAGTCTTTCGGCTCCCTCCTATTGCCCTTCGGACCTCAAATACGTCCGAAGTAAAACCTGGCTATGGGTCAGACTGGAAGATGACTGATAAAGTAGGCTATATTCAGTTCTTTCCCTAACTCGAAAAATGCAGAAAGTTAAAGGACACCTAGACCCAAGCTGAAAACGTGGCGCTAAGAGGAAAACGTTGTCTCAATCTACCTACGCCCAGCCCACCAACCCTGCCAGCCAATAACATAAATAATTCTTCTGCCACTCCCGCGATTCTCAGCGCTCATTTTCCCTCTGCTCTGATCGACTGCGCACTCCATAAGTGCCCATCCTCCGCCCCACTCCGCTATACAAGAGTCATCGTCTGTCTACCCTACAAGGAAAATGACGATAGCGGCTACCACGGGAGGCTCAAGATCCGACAAATGACTATCCCAAATAGCCACAAGGGAAAAAGCAAAGGCCCCTTAGCCCACTGAACACCAGGTCCCTTAACCCGGAAGCGACTCATCCCACAGTTGAGAGGGGAGGAGTCTGAAGTCTAGGTCTGTCCCGGCATGCCCTGGGCTTCCGGTGACCTCTGGCCCTTTTCTGCAGTCCGCTCCCTCTGCCTAACGTGCTCTCTGCCTGCTAGCTTTCGTTTCTTACCTCCGGTGTGTCCTCGCACGCTGCCTGCCGACTGTGGCGCCTGCGACTGGTACAGGCGGTGGCACAGGACACTCGTCATGGCCGCCTCTAAGCCAGTGGAGGCGGCTGTGGTCGCAGCGGCTGCGCCCGGCTCCGGGAGTGGAGTGAGCGGAGGTGGCGGGACTTCGGGCCCGGGCACTGGAGGCCTACCCCGATGGCAGCTGGCGCTGGCTGTCGGGGCGCCCCTGTTGCTGGGCGCTGGAGCCGTGTACCTGTGGAGCCGGCAGCGACGGCGACGGGAGGCCGGAGGCCGGGGCGACGCCAGCGGTCTGAAGCGCAACAGCGAGCGGAAGACCCCAGAGGGCAGGGCCAGTCCAGCCCTGGGCAGCGGACATCCGGAAGGCTCAGGTGCCCACCTGGAAATGGTGAGAAGTGGCCCCGAGCCGTAGTGGTGAAACCGAGTGATGCAGCTTTTCCTTGGCGGGTTGGGCGGGGGTCGTCCTGCGCATCAGTCTACAACTGCCAAATGGCTGTACAGGAGTTTAGGGAGACTCTTCCTTGTGCCTCAGTAGGGAATGGAGAGGGGACAGGTTAGCAACATTGTTTGACATTTCCTTCTGGGTTTCAGAAAAGTCCTTTGCTTCTCTTTTCAGTGATACAGCATTTATATCTAGAGTAATAGGTACAAGAACGTTTGCAAGTGTGATGATTAATTAAAAAGCAAAGAAGGGTGAATTCTGTTAATGATTGATACAGTGATATGAATTGTTTTTGTGATTCCCAAGGCCTAGAGCTCCTTTTTGAAGTATGGGGGAGAAGTATGGACTACTACTGTGACAAAGGCGAAAGAATTTGTTAGCTTTTTTATACTCCTTCCCCCAGTAAACAAGTTCTGAAGAGTGAAATGGTGGTAGCTTGTTTTTTAAAAAACTATGGGAGTGAATTCTTAAACTTTTTGGATGAAATCAGCTCAGATTTTTCCGTTTCATCTGGAAGTGTGGATGACAAGTTGTCTGATGTTAGACAAGCATTGGAATTTCTGGTGAACTGCTTTGTATGATTTTGTTTATTAACTCCTTTCGGTATCTGACAGTTGTGTGGATAATTGTCGTAGCTGCTTAACAGTACTGGAACTGGGTGGGGTGGAGTATTTTATTGAGTCTATAATTGTACAGTGGTAGTATCCGAATAAAGTTCGGAGAAACTTATAGTGATTCTTAGTCACATATACATGTAAATAGTATTAATACGTATGCAAGCTTACATACACTTATACACATTGCTTTCCACACGTTTTTACTAAGTTTAGCTTTAAAGGTTAGTACCTATAATGTGTGAGGCATTTTGCTAGACAGTTATAGAGCTATATGACTTTACCCCTGGGAAAGTAAAACATGGCCTATTTTTTAATCAGAAAAGATGTATTACAATAAAGGGAACCAGTGGCCTATGAGAACTAGAGAAATGTCACTTTATATTGAGCTCTCCAGCATTGTTACTTTTGGAACGTGATTTTATCTCTCATCTTTTCTGCCATCCCTGTTGAATAAGAGGATTAAAATATTAGACTTCTTCTATTTCATTCAGGACTAAAAATTGATGATTCTGAGTGCTGTTAGAGTGGTTATCAAGAGTTGGTTATTACAAGTCTTTTATCATTTTCACATGTATAAAATTCCTAATCGATTCCTATATCATTTTTATTTCGTTTTAATCATAGAATGAAAAGTACATAAAAGTATTCAGTTCTACAATAATCATTAAAAAGTTTGTGTACATAAAACAACTTCTTAACATTTCATTGTAGTGTCAATCATTCCACCTTATCCTAGGAATTCTGTACCATTGGTATTTGATAGAGTTTAGCAAATTGCCTTTATTCACCTGATTGCTAAAAGCTAGGTTTTAAGGTAGAATTCTTTGTGTAACATGAGTGGCTTTAAAGTGATTTTTTAAACCTAAAACAAAATTGAGCAAAATATTAGCATATAGCATTGATCACCCTGTGGAATCTTTAGGTTTCTACTGAAATCTTGCTTTGACTTTCTAAAGATTTTTTAGCAAAATGTCTTTGTCCTTTTTAATGGAAATATATACACTAACTTTGATGTCCAGTATATATATTTACAGACTTATTTTTGTTTTTTAAAATAGTCTAGTGCTTAAGAGTTATTAGACTGTCTAAATATAACTGGCCACTAATTGTAATGTATTTACTGTCTGTGATTAGAGAACTTGCTGTGTTTCAGTAGTACCTTTAAATTGGCAACTTTGTTGGGTTTCATAAATAGGGAAGCATTCGTTTCAACTGATGGAAAACTGGCTGTAATTTTTAAGTGGATGAAAGTCTGGACAAATATCTGTGTCCAGTATGAGCAAGTAGAATGAAAAAATCTGTGGATTTTGTTTGTTGGCTTATGTTTGCTTTAATGTAATGTGAACTAGTGAAATTTCTGGACTTTTGTCTAATGGATTTGAAACTCTCATAAGCAGTACAGACCTTATTCTAGTTATCTTTTTTTCTGAGATAGCAAAAACTTGTAAAGCAAATATAAAGACTGTTCATATTTTTTAATTAATGGAAATTTGAGGGTATCATTAAAGGAAAGCATCTAATCACAGTTGGTAGTGTCTGAGATTGAAGTATTAAACCATGGTTCGTTTTAAGCCATTAAAGTCTTATGTGCCATTTTTCTCCAGTAATTTATTTTAAACTTGAATAGTAGATTTCTTTCAATGGAAGACTTCTTTGAAGATAGTTTTATTTGTAGCACTTCTTAATCTGTAGGTTTGAGTTATAAATAAGGGACTACCAAATATACCGGCCATGTATCCTAGTTCTACAGATGTATTAGATATATTCCCCAAAATTTATGATTTTAATTTGAGTATTAATAACTTTATGATAACTTTATTCAGTTTTTTTATGTGATAAAAAATACCACAATTATTTTTAATGGTCAGGAACCACCAATCTAAGCCAGTTCTCCAGAATAGGGAAAGATGTACCTAAACATTTTAATAAAGGGATCAAAGGAATGAACAGCTTGCTGTTACCTTTTTCCTTGAAGTGAACTCATTCTCTTTCCCCCATATAAATGTTTCTAGTCAGTCTGGGTCACCAGTGACGTTTTTATGTAATTAACTTTGGTGAATACTTCCTAATCTGTGTGTGTGTGTGTGTGTGTGTGTGTGTGTGTGTGTGTGTGCGCGCGCGCATGTATATCCTGAATCCTGATGCTTAGTCTCCTTTCTAGTGTCTTTCTCTATTTTTTCCTTTTACTGACCTTCACAGTTCTAGCAAAAGCTTTTTTTGTTCTTTTTAATACTGGAGATTGAGCTGAGCTATAGCTCCCATTCCTTTAGTTGTTTTTGTTTTGTCCTGTTTTAGTGGGACAGGGTCTTACTAAGTTGCCCAGGCTGGCCTCAAACTTCTAATCCTTCAGCCAAAAAAAAAAAAAAGATTGGACTAGAATTGCTTATTTCTGTCTTTACTGCTGTATTTTTGAATCTTTGAAGGCTTGGACTGGCTCTATCTTGTTTTCTTATTCTTAGAACCTAAATACAATTGTGATACATAGTAATTATTGAATGAATAAATGAAACTTAATTCTTTGACTAATAAATAGTTAAGAGCTCTTTGACGTCTGTAAGTTTATACATGCACACACATACCCACATAAAAAAAATTCCTAACTTATGATGGTTTGACTTTTTTGACTTTACAGTGGTACAAAATCAATAGACATCCAATAGAATCCATATTTTGAATTTTGATTTATTTTCCTCAGGCTGATGGTATGTTCTATGGTATATGTGATACTGGATGGGGCAGCCAGCTGCAGTTCCTAGTAGCCACAGTATCATGGGTAAGCAACCAGTACACTACATTGTACTATGTTGCTACACTATGATGTTAATGTAGATTAGACTTATTGAATGCATTTCCAATTTAATAATAATTTCAGTTTATAATGGGTTTATCAATCACTTGCTTTTTTAAAAAATATATAACTATAATCCTGCAGAAGAAGCATTTTTTTAGTACTTTTTATGTAATCCTGTGTATTGTGATTTAGTAGGTGGGGTTGATTGTAGATTTTCTAAATTTCGAGGCATGAGATGAGAAAGGACTTGATTAAATTGGGTTTAATTCCTTCTTAGGCATTTTGTTTAATTCCTTCTTAGGCATTTTTCAAAAGCGTAGGTCTAAAGTTTTCTGAGACTCAAGGCAAACTGTTAGCTGTGAACCTATATAAATATAAAAACAAATTACATAATCCTATGGTACAGTAGCTCAGGGTAAACATTTCCATTCCCAAAGGGACAAATAGGGGATATAAATCTATCAGACTGAGGCAAGACTGAGATTCAGCAGGGCAAACGTTAAGTCCTATAGCTCTATATCTAGCATCTGAGCCCACAGTGGTAAAATGTGAGTTTTAAGGGGTTTAGAAAGTCCCCAGGTGCAGCCCACACAACCTCTCTTGGGCTGGCTCCTTTCCAGCCTCCAGCTTTCCTCAGTAGACATTCCATGTACCTGGTGTCTCCAGCTTTATAAGGTCTTGGCTGCACCTTTGGCTTCATTCCTACAGCTTCATACACTACTCTCTCAGGCTCCTTGGAAACCTTCCTGACCACCCATTCTTACATTCTGCATGCTAATAAAATCAGCATGACACAGATGATGCCAAGGCCAGCTGTCAGCCAGAGCAGTAGCCCAGCCATCTTGGACCAGGGCTGCAGTAGCCTCTGAGTGCCTGGATGGAATCTCTTCATTCTAAGGCTTCTCTAGCCCTCATCTCCATTCCTTTCAAGCCCTCACACAAAGGCTTTTAAACCACATGGTAAAGTACAGTTATAGCCGTGGCTGCACTCTCATCAATTTTCTTGTTGCTAGGACACAATGCTCAACATCAACAACTTAATTTAATTTAGCTCACAGTTTTAGGAGTTTCATTACATGGTCAGCAGGCTCCAGAACAGGAATATTGTGGTAGAAGGACTTGGCAGAGGAAAGCTGCTTTGGTTCTTGGCAGCTGGGAAGCAAAGCAGGGGAGCAGCACCAGCGAGGAAAACCAAAGGACTACATATAGCACTCAATGTCTCGTCTCTGTGACCCACCCAGACGTATCCCCCAAAGAGTGCTCCACCAATCTCCTAGGTGGTTCCCAACAAATTAGGTGGACACAATGAAGCTTTACCATCACAGTATTCCAAAGTTGCTTGCTGTTTCTCTAAAGCTGGAATTCAAATATAATATGCTTTATGAATTTAGGAAATTTAAGGGAATAAATCATTTAAGAGCAATGTCATATGTGTTTTAACAATACAAATGTATCATAGTAACAAGTTCATATCCATTTTATTTTCTTACACTTGGATTGAAGTACAGAATTCTAGCTCATTTTCTTTCACATTGACA